CCCACTCACGCACACACACACACACACACACGCACACACACACTCTCTCTCTCTCAGAAATAAACAAAACTTTAAAAAAATAATAAAAAAGAAAATATGTTGGAAAGGCATGCTATGGGAGGGATGATTCCATTCCTGAAGTATTATAAAATCTTTAATTTTGGTTCCTGTATGTATTAGCTCTTTTGAACTCAAGTGTCCGTTTCCCACACACTTGCTACCCTAACCTCCTGCCCTCTCTATCAAGAGGCAAAGATGGAAGTGAAAATAGGGAAGTCAAGTCATTATAAAAATACATGTTATAATGTATTTTGAAAATTTTTTAGTGTTTTATTTTTGAGAGAGAGAGACAGAGAGACAGAGACCTAAGCATGAGCGGGGGAGGGGCAGAGAGAGAGGAGACACAGAATCTGAAGGAGGCTCCTGGCTCTGAGCTGTCAGCACAGAGCCTGATGCAGGGGCTCGAACTCACAAACTGTGAGATCATGACCTGAGCCGAAGTCTGATTCTCCACCAACTAAGCCACCCAGGCACCCCTTAATGTATTTTGATCTAATTGATCTAATGCTTCTAGACTTTTAAAAAATCTAACTCTATTCTAGTCCTCAGATTAATTTTCCCCAAATACTCCTGTGATAAAGACTCTGGTTTTAGGTAACCAGTTCTTCACTAGGTGTTGAGAAAGAAAGAAGAATGATCATCCTGAAGTTTGCTTTTCTTCTGCTTACTTTCTTTTTGCGCTGCTTCTGTGTAGCTGCTTGGCTGCCATGGGGGAAATGACAGATAAACCTTTTTTAAAACAGTGGATAGACTCTTTGCTGAGACTCCCCCCCCCCCCCCCCCAGATGCTGTGTGCATTCCCTGGAATGCTTAAGACCTTAAGACTTTCCTTCAGATATGTGGCTTATCTCTAGCAGCCAGTAATTCCTCTCCTGAGCCCAGCCATTGGGAAGGGGAATCCCAAAGAAAGAATTCCCTGCCCTTCATTAGAGAATTATTTAGAGAATCACAATGGGGAAGATGAAGCTATACTATCTACAGTTATTAGCTTCCTCTCTAAGGTAGTCCTGGAGTTCATTTAATCATTACAGAATCACAGTTAGGCAGGCTTATTTAAGGAGGGGTTTTAGTTCTCCTTTTAATCATAATTGAAATGTTAAGTCCATCTTAGTTGAACTGTGGGAGGATTTTCAAAGGAAACTAACCTGTAAAGTACAGAACAAGAATGCCTTGTAATAAAAGAACAAATGGAAGATTTGGCTATATCTGTATGTGCTGCTCATATGAGTTAGAACTAAGTAGTCAGTGATGAGTAACAAAGATGAATCATTGTTTCTGATTATTGAATATCCTGATCATATAGCTGTCATTTCACCCTTCTATATGAGCACACAGAATTCCTGTTGAAAGTACTTTATAAAGGTATTATTAAAGAAATAATTGTCAAAATAGGTATTATCGATAAGTGTATCCTGGCTCCCACCCTCTTAAGGTCAGTGTTTTCAGGCTCATTCACACAGTACACATAGGATTTACTTAACAATCGAATGGGAGGCACTTTATTATCTATCTTCATATATTGCCCCATAGAATGAAACCACATTTCCCTCTCCTACCTTCTCAGCATCAGCATATGCTATCTCTATATTCTCTCCCATCAAAAGCTGCTTTGGGGAAACAATCTGATGAATTAGGTATAAACGACTAAGGCTTAAATATTACCTTTCCCAGGATTATGGCTTTGTGCTAGAGAAATAAACTCAAAGGGATTAAACACCAGTGGCAACATTTTAGGTGAGTTGGAGAAGGGGTTTTTGTTATAGAAACTTTTCCAGCCTAAAATCAGTCAGATTGGTCCCCAGTAAGGATATAAATGGGTGGTGGGGGGTGTGGAGGGAAGGCGAGGGACAAGGCAGGTCCTAACCTGGAGAGACTTGTCTGTTCCTACTATTTAGGTTTGGGAAGGAGTGGTGGTGGTTAGGCTTACATGAATCTACGATGCCACATTTACAGGGGTCTTGAACCAACCTAAGACTAAAGGCAACACTGGAATTCCAGATTCCAGCGGGTCTCATTTGGTACGGGAGATACTCTGCCCTGGGATGCTTTAGTAGAGTGACCCTTTCAGTTCAGGGCTATGCTACTGAGGTCTGATTCAAACCAGTTTTTGAAAGGGGAGTAGGAAATCCCTGTGACGATTAAAAATCATGTAAACAATATACCAAATTCAGATTTTACACAACAGCTAAGATTCATATTCACATAAGATGGCTTAACTAGCTTGGTGTTACTATTACACCTGGCTGTCATTTCGTTTCCTAGTTTTAGTTAAATGCTCTTTTACCTCCAGCGCAGCACTAAGTCTGAACACTTTGATGCTACTTGGGGGAACTTCAACTTCTGCTCTACCTTAAAGAGCTACCTGTTAATTCCAGCAGTTCTGAAAGTAGTTAAAATGCTGTCACACTAACAGAATGTCTTGAACAGCTCTGTAGTTATTTCAAGCGTTTTCACTAGCCTACAACTCACTTTGGTAAATAATTCTTTGATGGACTTTATGAAGCCCTTCCTTTGGATGCAAGCCAAAAATTATCTATAGGGCATACAGTTCTTTCTTCAAACTTGGTAATAAATAATTATCTCTGGAACACAGACGGAAGAATTGAAGCGATGACTTCGGGGACACAGAGACTAATTACCATCATTGTACACAGTTAAGTACAGCAGAGACTGGGGGGCGGGGAATGGTTTGTTCCGTATCCATTACGTTCCTTTTCCAGTAAAGCAAGGCCGTCTTGTCTGTTAACATATTTAGAGCAGTAACTGCAAAAATGTGCAATGTTATGGTTGAAGCGTTTTATGCCATATGTGTTGATGGAATGCGTAAGAGTCTCTCTCTGCAATAAACGCAAACCCTGCCAGACTGAATTATTAGGGCCAGCGCAATTCAAGACTGCACCACCGAAACCGCTGAGGTTGGAAGCCTACGTCGCATTCGGAGTGTGTCCAACGCTTCCTCTAACAAAGGCACTATCTTGAGGCAATTTCGCGGGCCATTTTCCCCCTCCCAGCGCCAGCTTTGTCTCCTCGCTGGTGTGAGGCTGAGACTTGGAGAAGCCCCAGCTGCTTTACATTGCGAGCAAGCTCTGAGCAGGGGCCAGCGTGGGAAGCTCCACTGAGCCGCCGCTGTGGTTTCCTGCAAACTGAGCGTGCCATTAGAGGAAGTTGGAGTGCTGCAGTTGAAAGACATACCTGCAGCCTTAAAATCGGGGCTGGACTTGAACCCTACGCATCGATTACTGTCGTATAAAGGAAACTCAGTCGGCCGGGGACGTCGGAGGCCCGGAGGCTCTCAGTCTCCACCGCAGGTGGCGGAGGAGTCGGGATCGGCGTCGCCAGGGTCCCCTCAGGAGGCTGGGGCGGC